AACAAGAATGCAAGAAGACACAAATGAGGAGGGATAGGAAGAAGATACATAGAAATAGAAAATGACGGGAGAGCAAAGTGAGGAGTAAGAACAGTCAAATGGAAGGGTGCTTGAAAATGGAGTGGGAAAATGAAGAAGGTGAAGAAGCAGGGGAACACAAAACGGAGAAAGAGGAGCAGGAGGAAGAGGAAGGGAGGTGGGGCTTTATGTATAGCAAAACATGACGACAACAACAAGAAGATGAAGGAAAAGAGGAAAGTGAAGAGAGGGGGAAAGGTACAGGTCAGAAAAAGACGAAGAGGAGTAGCAAAAAGAAAGGGAGTGTAAGAGGAGGAAGACATATCATTAAAGAAGAAGAGGAAAAGAAGAAGGAAGGTAGAGAAAGAGGGTGTGGCAGATTTCCCATACCGCCCTTTGTGAACCAACCACCACACCTGTTCGAAAACACCTGTCTGTTATTATGTCACTACGGAAACAGCTGTGTGTGTGTGTGTGTGTGTGTGTGTGTGTGTGTATGCATACAGTACACCCAAACCTTAACTTATCCTACAGGTTAGTTTAACACAACCTCAAACACTCCTATATAAACTCAAACCTCCCTGACACACACATGGACACACTGAATTGTAGGGATGTAACGATCGAGGTGACATGCAACAACATTAACATTAACCTTTCTCTTGGTCGCTTGTTAGCAGACCCTTCACGCGATGGCAGAGCGAACTGGTACAGGCAGGGCCCATAATGATAGCCCTATAGTTTAAATCTACTACCCACAAATACACATGGGTTACTATTTAAAAAAAATGGCAAATGTATTTAGGAACCTATCCATGTGATTTTAAGTGGGGGTGGACCTCAAATCCTCTAGGGGGGTCCGGGGGCATGCTCCCCGGTAAGATTTGTTTTTAAATGTTGGCGTTAAATGCATCAATCTGGTGCATTTAAAGGGGAAAATAAAGAGACTAGATATATGGGAACATCTATATGAAACAGATACATTTCAATAATCATAAAATCATGGCCATAACCAATAACATCCCATTTCCAATATGAAAAACACTGAAACGTGTTTATTTATTTTTGGTTCATTTATAGTTGTGAGTGTGTCTGTGTTCCTGAACCAGCCTCTCCTGTCTCCCTCCCCCCCTTCTCCTCTTTGAGGCAGCAGCAAAGACTAGTTTTAGCTCTCAACAAGTTTTAAAAGTTACCTTTTTTTCACCTAGTTAACTTTTTTATTTGTATTCATGCATATTTTACTAATCACTCCCCCCTCAAATGGAAATATGTGTTTACATAAATGGTGACCAAACCGTTTGAGACCCACTGAGAACTTAGACTGAGTTAAAGTGGACCTATCATGCTATATCTGAATAATATATTGTAGGGCCATACCTATATAAAACATGTCTATGAAGTCTTTTTTTCAAAATACCAAACAGATCCTGCATTTTAGCCAGGCCTCATTTAGCTCTATTTGCTCTATTATAGCCCTGTATTTGCAAGGGCTGATTCTGTGGCAAATGAGCTGCAGATGACCACGCCCCCCTGCAAAGGAGGGGGGCGAGGCACGAGCATCATGTTACCATGCTGTTAACATGACACGCAACCTCTCATTCCCCTGATAGGTGGAGAGTTGCCCATATAGGCGGAGCACCCCGTTTCTGACGTCAGAACAATTTCAAATCTGTATCAGTCTGTATCAGATCCGTTGCAGCCCCGTTTTTAGAGATTTGGGTATGGAGGAAAAGAGAGAGGGTTGTGTTTTCTGACACTTGGTGAGTTCCCTGACACACCGGGGACACATATTCATGTATAAAAGACGTACAAAAGTGCATTTTGCATGACTATCTAAACACTCAGAGAGTCCTTTACCTCACCTGAGCTGAGGTTATCCAGAGCTTGAATGACACACAGAGACCAATCAAGGGCTTTGATTTATGATCTGTATGACAGTGGCCATGTCGGCAGGCCACATCATGTAGACAGCCAGTCACCCTGTGAGGCAGGCCACTTAACAGGCCAGGCCATCGGGAAACCCCCCAGTCCTCCTGATGGCCAGTCCGGGACTGGGTACAGGAGGCGTAGAGCGAGGGATCATTGTCCACAAGTTAATCGATCGCAGATGGCGTCGTGATCGCGGACGAAAAAAATGCCCTTCGCATAGGCAGTATAGGTGAATGCTAAGGGCGCATCAATCAATGGGGGGCGCCGACAATTGAAAAATAAATTAAATTAAAGTTAGAAATTAAAAAAATATATATATTTGTTTTATTTCATAACACAATTTCCCGATTTTGGATCAACAAAGTACATCTTACTATCTTATACTAACAGAACTAAGCCTATATTGCGTACAGCGTCCATAA